TTCATTATATTCTGAAGTTCTCTGATAATGGGCTGCTAGGGCAATGTAGCCCAGTGCCTGCTGATTACGTTCAAAGCACTTATTCCATTAGCCTCAACGGGTCCATGTTCGGGGCAGAGCTGGCTGAGCATTTGTTAAGCTTCCAGTTTCTCATAGACCATAAGACTGATGTGGAAGGGGTGGCAAATGTGTTGCCTTAGGTGTTGAAGAGCTCATTGGAGAAAGTGAAAGCATTTCGTCTAAGGAGATGGGCTTCCATGACTATCTTTAGAGAACTCCATAGCCACTGATGGTATGTTGCCAAACATGCTGCATAGTTCCCTAGAGATATTCACTGCTTTACTCTGAAGTTATGCATACAGGGTTTATGGCAGTCTGTGTGTTCATAAACATGGATTGTTCATACCCCAGATGTTCATAATCTGAGGACCACCTGTATTTCTTGGGGAGCTCTTTTTCATGGTGCACCTCCACAGCTTTCTAGCCTCACAAATTCTTTCAAAATCTGCATTTGTTGCACAGCTGCAAAGGTCACATGCAGTTACTCAAGTTTTTATTGTTTGTTTTGGAAGCTGAAATGGCATGTGTTCCCAATCAGTGTTGTACTGGAACATCTTGATTAGAACTTCATCAGCTACCACATTAGCTTTTTCTGTTCTTGCTGAGCAATCCTCAAAGTAGTTGAAGGAGAATGAATTTTCTTATTACCAGGTTTACCATATATACCTGTTGCAATAAAGTAATGGAAAGTATTTTTCATCTTAAGTTCCATTTGCTTTAAGAAAAACCTGATGGAGTTAAATGTTAGAACTGGCTTGTTATATGGAACAAAACAACTGCTTGCAGTTTTGGGCCTTCCTTGAGGCCTGCTATGTTAATCTTTCCACTTCTCCCACAACTGTAGCAGTGAAGTGTGCCTTGTTTTTATGGTGTAAGCAGCTGCTCTTCCAGGGGTTTGACAGGATTCAGCAAGCAAGCCTTGAAATGGCCCAGTGAACTCAGGGTCTTTCTTTGGCATAAACATTCATATCTTGTCTCTGCACTGCACTGGTCCATCTCTTCTTTTCCCAGTTCTGCTCTTGTGGCAATTGGGTTATCTTGTGAAACTGTTCCTCCTCCTGGTCTCCTCTTCCTTGCTGGTGGCACAGTTGCAAAACTTGGCCTTCACTTGGAATGATATCCTACTTGTCTCAGTGGGACTTACTTCCAAGTTGGTAAGATTTAGCTCTAAAATTCCCTAAACTCAATAGAATTACTGTACTGTTTAAGTGAGGAGAAGCACCAGGGTTCAAGCCTCTCTGAGAGCCATGCTCTCTGCCCTGAAGGTCCCACCTCTTAATATAAATGCCTAGATCAGGGTTTGGTTACTTGGGCTGAAAGCTGTCTGTGCACGCCCAGGAACACTGTAGATCCCTGGACTGAGCTTTTGCATCAGTCCAGATTCAGCTTTGCTTCCTTAACATGCGGCGGGGGGAGGTCAAAGTCTTTAATTCAATCAGAATATGGACTAACTTGCCCCCCCCCCTCCCCCCCCCCCCCCCCCGCAAGTGTTTTCTATTTACCCGTTTAAGCAAACAGAGCAGCTTTCCTGGAGTGCCCGCCTAAGAGCAGCTTGTAGGTCATGAAAAGGTTGGGGCCCGGTTTGCAACTCCGCATTCTGCTAATTTCTTAAGGAACACTCGTTGCGGAGCCCCCCGCACAAAAGGCGATGATTTAATGAGGAAGAGAAACAAACCGGCTGATTGTTGGCGCTTGCAACTTCCTTGGGAGCCCTCCTGGCAGCCACAAGCTGATCTCTGCGCCTTCAATGCGGCTCGCCTTCGGGAGGAGAGGCCGGCCTGAATAGAGAACAAAGGCGGCTTGTTCTGTTTATTTACCCTCCCTACAAGCTGGGTTAACCTCTCCCAAACAGCCCGGCTAAGCCCGTTAGCTGCGCAGCCCAGATGACCCGCTGCAGAATCACCACTGTCATACAAACGAGCCGCCCTCGTCCGCCTCGGGCCCCGAGGTGGGTCGCCAGCCCCACCTCTCGTCGCTCCCGCACTAGAAGCGCGATCGCCCCGGTGAGCTGGCCATGCTAAGAGATCCTCCGCTGCGGGGCAAGCCGTGTATTTAAGCACAGGCAAGGGCAAATCTCGCAGGGGTGTGTGTGTGTGTGCGCGCGCGCGGGGGGGGGGGGGGAATGGAACTGCTATGGTTTCGGTCTGTCTGTCTGAAAACATCCCCTTTAAGGGCGGCCATACTGCTTAGACAATGCAGCAGGAGGAGCTTTTTTCTGTGTAGAATATATGACTGCACCCTACATGGGTTCTAGTAAATTCAGTGCAAATTATTTCCTAGTCAGAGCATTTAGGATTGCATCCTAAGAAGGAAAGTCTTATCTATCTTTAGCACATTTTAAATCACCTTTGGGTAGTGGTGATGATCATGAAGACCCTCAGACAAGTTCAGGTGGGGAATCTTTTGGAATTGCATTTAGAAGGGATAAAACAATTGTATGAAGGGGCCTACCAGTGTGTGCTGGACAGGCCAAATACAGCTTCTATATGAAGAAGGAGGTCTGTCCCCTTGACTTGAGGACAGAGCAGTGTGAAAGAAGGGCTGTGCTTGCTGTGTTTTACTACAGGTAGTAGAGGTTGGGGGTCCATTATCAGGCATTGGCATCTGGATGGCATTGGTCCAAGCAGGGAGATTGTGTGCCACTGTGGAAGCAAGACATCTTGAACTGGGAACAGAACTTTTACCATGATTTAGTAATGCAGTTCTTATTAGTGCCAGGAGTACCATATAGAGTTCTTTTGCAGAGCACTCCTTCCATGTAGATAAAAGACACAGAAAGTTGCCTTATACAGAGGCACAGCAGTGGTCCAGTCTTGTTCTGTCATATTAGCAGTGAACTCCTCCAAGTTTTCAGGCAGACGTCCCGGAGGTGCTAAGGACTGAGCCTGGGCCCTTCTGCATGCCAGGAGGCATAGGCTCCTTTTCTGCAGTCACATGTGTAAGATTGCACCTTTAATGAGCCCTCTGGATGTGCTGAACAGCAACTCCCATCATCCCACAGTCAGCATGGTCAATAAATGATGGGGGTTGCAGTCAAAATATCTGGAAGCCAGTAGATTGGGGAAGGCCAAGCTAAGTGAATCAAAAATCTGACTGTGTAATGCAGTTTCATGTGATCATCCAGTGAACTTCAATCCCGTGACATTTTGGAGTACATGTATTACTGTCATGCTGGATCAATCAATACTGAGTAATTTGCACCTATAGTTCTCTATTCACAGCAGTTTGTGCATTTTACAATCAGCCCTTACTAATTAACTCAGAGAAGGGATGGAGCCCTTCTCCCCACTGTTTTCCTCTCCAAATGAGTCAAATGAAAGAATCATCTTCCACATGGCCTTGGAAATACTGGGCTGTGGCTCTCTGACAGGACTCAAGTAGCACTGACACCAGGAAATGGCCACAAAAATTTGAAATCATCTACCTGATGATTGTGAAAACCGTGCAAAAAGGTTGAGGAAAAACTTGCCATTCGATTTCAGATGCAGAATATTTTTAACAGGGTTAAAACACATTTCCATTTATGCTTATGGCTACAGAGTGAGGCGAGGCTGTATGAGCGCCTGTGAACCACAAAGCCACTTGTGTTGCAATAACTCTGGAATGGTGAAAGTATCCAGTGGCACATAGGACAGTTTCTGCCTGAGCAGCCTGCAATGGACAAGCAGCAAAGCATTCATTTCTAGTGACTCTCTTAACCACCTCCAGAAAAGGAATGCTAGAAATGGCTCAGAGTTTAATCCTCCATAAGGACAAAAGGTTGACTGCAGCCTTCTTAAAGGGTTAACTAATCCATATTAAATAGTTTTGCATTTGCACTCTTAAGGACATGAATGGTGAATCAAATCCATTAGTGGCCATCAGTACAGATCCAAGGGTCAGTTGTTACTTGGGATTCATTAATCCCAATGGCAAAGTACCTTTAGATTTAATGGACTTAAGGTGGGATGATTGGTCAAGTCTGGACTCTGCGCATGCTCCTTTGCTTGTAAGTTGTATAGAAGTTCCAGCAAGTGGCCTTTTCTAGCCACACATTCTATGACAGGAGAAGATATAACCTGGTAAATTTTCCCTCTTCTTAATAAATCTTAAAGGTAGAGGGCTACACATAGAAGCTGTTGTTGAGGAAGGGATTTCCATGGCTTGAAACCCAGCATCTGTGAAGATATGGTCTGCTATAGGCCGGTGCTAATGCTGCAAAAAGTATAGCTGATTCCCACCACTGTGACTGGATGCAAAGGAGCACAGAGCTCCTCTACTGTTCATCTTTGGGCCTATTTGCATGTACAACAGATAATGGATAACTACAGCAGATAATGGATTAACTAACTCAATGATTTGTCAGCTTGTGTTGCTAGTGCATGAAGCTGTTACTTTGCACAATCAACCTCTCACCAACCCAATCAAAGGTCTTTCATGGCATGGAAACCCAGAAACATGGGTTATTTGATGTTTAAACAACCCACAGTTAAGCTAAGAATTGACCCATGATTTGCATGTTTCAGGAGAACTAGATCATGATGTAGAAGAAGAATTTTAAGCAAGGACAACTTTTCTCTTTCTTGAATGACAAGAGACCCAGAAGAGATACAGGAGTTCTGCCCAGAACTTCAAGTTCACAATGCTTGTTGGACAAGGCATCCTCAATAGCCTCTCAGTGACTCTACCTTCTAACTGCATTGTCACCAGCTGCTATTGGTCTTCATCTTCCTCCTCATCATTACTACCAAATAGGTCAGAGCACCCAGTGGTCTTTCCTCTCACCACCTGGGTCAGCCAGACCTGAGTGAGTGGCAGGTGAAGAGGAGGAGCAGGTTCAGGAGGCCTAGCGCATCCTCAGTAGCATGTGTGTCCTTGTTAGGTGCTCTACTTTAGACAGCAACCCTGCCGACTCTTCATTTCTACTTCCTACAAACAGTACACATAGTCAAAAACTGGAGTCCATGTTGTTGATTGATTTTAATGGGCCCATTTCCCAAATGAGTTGATTTTGTTTTTAGTTCTGTCATAACAGTAAGGAAAGGGGTATCAAACTTGCCACTATGGTTCACAGTAAGACAAATATATGACAAGTGGTAGGACTTGTAAACAGAGTTCTGTTGAAGTGTGAACTGTTAGATTTTTCTTTCTTGAGTATTAAATGATCCTTCTTTAAACAGCTTTTCCCCCGTGGGAAAGTTCATTTAGCAGATCATTTTTTCTTGATGGCTGTGGCAAGTGTAACAATGTTCCGGGCCTGCTTCAGTAATGGCATGTCTATCATGCTGCCACGGAAAGTGAAGGCACCCTGCAAAAACAGAGAATATCAACTTTTAGAAAGGGACCATGGGAAAGGAAAATTGCAGGCTTGGGTTGGTTTCAAAACTTTGCTGCAAGACAAGAATCATTAGATCCCGCATGAATCAAACTGTGTTTTCTTGTGCTGGCTTGAAAAACAGCCAAGAGGCATACTAATAAAAGAAAAATGTAACAACAAAGTCGTAACAAAAGATGTATGCATGTGACAGACCCAAACACCAGGGTAGAAAAAGACTGTACATTTAACTTAAGCATGGTTCATTATCCATGGTGTGGAGAATGTGGGGGGAGAGACATTTTATCTTAGAACTGGGGTCCATTGATTAAACTGATTGGTAGCTTCAGAAGACATAAAGGAAAGTACTTCTCACAGAACATTGCTAACCTATGGCATCTGCTACTGCAAGACGTAGTGATGGCCACCAACTTGTATGGCTTTAAGAGGAGATTAGGCAAAATCAGGAAGGATAAGGCTAGCAAGCGCTACTAGTCCTGTACACCAGCTGCTGAGGACTATGAGTAGGAGGGTGCTATTCTCCTGTTTGTGGACTTTCCATACAGATCTCATTGGCCAGTGTTTGAATAAAATGCTGGACTAGATAAGCCTTTGATCTGATGTAACATAACTCTTCTTATGTTCTTAGGTTAACTCTTTGTCTCAAAATAGACACAACAGGAATTGACTTACAAACTGAGACACATTAGGTGGAGGGGGCAGCTGTGGGTTGAACAACATAGACAATTAATTCTTTCCTTCTGAAAAGAGACCCAAAGAGATCCATGTTCCCAGGATAAGAAGCTCTTCCAGCTTGCAACTGGTTTGTGGCTTACAGGTTGGATCAACTTTACTCATTGCTCGTAATAATTATTAGATAATATTTAGGTCCTGTACATGGATTCACAGGTTGTCTTTCACCTTCTCACTGCTCCTGACAAGGAGAATGTGTTACCATTATTTCATAGCTGAAATTCATCTGCCTTGCATGCAAACTGAGATTATGAGCCCTCAGGACTGACACAAATCATCAAACAAGTTAAAACTCAAACTCTGGTTGGATTTTAATTAACTTTCCCTGTGTAATTTATTACAGAGAGAGAATTACTGGTAATGGCCCAGTGAAGTTTCTCCACAGTTGGAAAAACAAATCTTGTCTTATGAAGTTTTTGAATAGTATCTGATCAGTTCAAAGATAAGATGCATCGGTGCGGGAGGGATGTCAAAACCTTCTGGGAAATGAACAGGTGGTCATAGCCAAGAGCCATGATGGATTTCCAAACGAGTAAGAAAAGAGAAATAGATGCAGTACAGATGGATAGCACACAATTTCATACAGTTCCATGATGGTCAATAATTCATCCATTGGGTTATTTCACACAAAATGTTATCTTATTCTGTTAACTGTTTATTTTTCTGCTTTTGAACATTTGTTGGCTGCCACTGGAAAGGACATATGTCCATCCTATTTTTTTCTTTTCCCTATTTGACTTTTTAAATATCAGTAATAAATGGTAGTCAACATCACAAAAATACATAGAAGAAATGAGATAAATTTTAAAAGATAATACATGATTTAATTCATTGGATGAACTGAAACACTTCCATCCAATTTCAGTTAGCGTTAGTGTAACATACGCTTTTAAAAAATGAAATGCATATTGGAATTTGGAGTATGGCAACACAACATCAACTGAGGGTCCTCTGGGTTTTAATTTTAAGTTACCTGAGTTTCTATGTGGAAGGAATAGTGGATTATGTATAAATACAAAGAACAGGCTTTTAATCACCCTTGTAAACATATCTGGAGACTTCGTCATCATTCCAACATACATGGTGAGGGAGTAAAAGACACCCATACCAGAGATGCTTGGCTAATGCAGCTAAGTAGCAAAATTCAGAAATCACAAGCAAGAGAGTAAAGTTGATTTAAACATATTTGGTTTGATCCAGGATCTGTCTTCCATGAGAGGAAAGACAGATTCTGGATCCTGTGCCTGATTTTGGGGTATCTCCCCTCCCTCACAACATGCAGCTCATACATTCCACAAGGGCTCCTGCTCTGTCTGGCATTTTCTGGGAGCTGGAAATGCTGCTTCAAGAAGTGGGTGGGGGGGAGTGAATCCATTTTCATCAGTGCAGTTAATCCAACATACATCTATATCCCACCATCATAGGCTTCTCCAAGGTGATTCTCCCCCCTTCTGATGTTACTAAACAAGAGTGAAAAGCAGTCAAGTGAAAGCAGTAACCACACCCTAAGATCATGGAAGCACCCACCCAGACATCTGAAGTTGTTCCATCTTTCTACCTTCAGAGAATTCGTTTCGCACTCATGCAGAGCAGAGACAGGTCTACTGAATCTCATCTTTGTTTTACACACGTGAACTATTAATACATTTTTAGAACACCCCAAACACTCTCCCCTGGCAACTCATTAGATGGAAAGATCAGGAGTAATAAGTGAACTGTCTTTTTGGGAAGCTTGTCCTTCATTACTGATTCTTTTGTTGTGAAATCTCTGATATTCCCCTGAAAACTGCTCACAAACCAGTGCTATCGATACACAAGAGCGAAGTGTAAGGAAAGGTGCACTCGGTCCACAGTAGCCAAGCCGAGGCTACTTATATTTCTTAATTGTTTGAATACAGTGAAATAGATCAAATTCTAAAGTCCAGTTGGATATAATGAACGATTGGCTTGAAATAAAAGCATTTATTATCATTCTTAATTTAATTTAATTAATTTGAAACAAACATTTATATCCTGTCCTTACTGATGAACGGCTTCTTTTAGTTGTAGGGTTTTTGAGAACAATACAGAGAAGACAGATCTTGACAGAATATTATTTTACACATTTACATATGACATTTATTGTTAAGATAGTTGCTACTGTGTTTTTCTACATATCCTACATCACCAGCTCTCTTTTTTTGGTATATTGTACACCCAAGCTGACTAAGTTATCACCTGGATAATATTACCTTTAATTATTTAGTGTGTCTATTTTGCTGTAAATTCTCATTTAAACAAGAGAATTGAGGGCAGGGGAAACATTTTAATAATTTCCATATATTTTACCAGTGAAAACGATGCATACTATCTGTTATTCTAAAAAGCACCAATTTAAGCACTCTTGGACCATATTACGAAAATAATGGGTTGAAAAAAGTGAAAACTGCAGTGTAAAAAATGTACATCAAAATGAATAAGGATGAAGCATGTACATGTTAGATTATGTGGTGGTTTCACTGCTTTGGTTGAAATTGAAATCCTAATGGAGAAATTATATTTTCTTAACCCTCTGACAAAGTCAGTCACATAATCAAACTCTCATGTCACAGGTTTTTTTTTTAAGGACATGAAGTGCCATAGGCTGGCATTTCTCTCTCCCAATCTCTCTCCCTTTTCCTTCACAGCCAATCATACCAAGAGGCTTCTAACTACAGTCATTATAAGTTAAATCTGGCCAGCTAGGACTGGCTTTGTGCTACAAAGAGAATAATATAAAGGTCATTAGCAAGAGGCATCAATTGAATTAAGATCCTTTAATTGAGGACTTGATTGCCTATACCAGGAGTTGATTCCAAACTTAATTCTTCTCCTTCCTTTCCCTCTTCCACAAACAGAGATAGTTCCACCCTTAGGAAGGTTTGTTCTGTCTGTGGGACAGATGGCAGGGATGTGGGACATTACTTAATTGATCTGCACATTTGATTGTGAGCCAAGAAAGTCACACCCTTTCCCCTCTACCCTTCCCTGTTCTACAGTTGTCTTTGCCTGAACCAGATCTGATCAGTTTCTCACCAGTCCCTTGGAGTATTTCTCAGTCTATAGACCATGGCAATTCAGCTAACCATTCTGATCCTGACTTTTTTCCCAGATTCAGAGTATGAAATCTCGAGCTTGGACTGCTGTATATTGGGAGAATTGGACCCGGTCAGAACATGCTGTTTTTCGACAACAAACTATATTAAAATTTATTTAGGCCTGATTTCTACAGCAAATTAGAAATAGAACTATCCATTTTATGACCATTCAATAAATTCAGTTAGCATCTTTGAAGGATGCTCACTTATAAAAACCTGTGAAAATATACAATTGTAATATGTATATTGACCCAGTCTGCATTATCGGACATCTCATGATTAAGAAACCTTAAGTAGTTTATGAGGGCATGCCTGCGATTGTACTTACTAGTTTCCAGTCTCTTGCCTCCTTTCATTTTTAACTAACTTTCCTGGCTTGTTTTGTGAACCTGGAACTCTGGGTTGTTTAGGGGTTAAATGAACTAGAGTTGGCCCTGTGCTCAACGGAGTTCCTGGGTTGTTAACTGAAAGTAGAATGGTGAGCAACAGGGTGCAGCATGCCATCTCACTTCTACTCGCCACTGCCAATTCTTGGGTTAAGCAACTCAGAAAATGGCTGCAATGTGCAAACCATTCTGTTTTGCCAGGACTCATTGATGTTATTGAACCAGCTTTTAAAAAAGTAAAATAATTTCATTTCTGTTCATGTTAACCTCATGTTAACAGCCACTTCTTTCAAAAACTTTAGGTATCCTAAATCAAGTGAGCCTTCAGATCTGGAAATGCACTTTCTTTTGTTCACAAACCATTCAAACACTTTCATTCTGCATCATCATGATCATGATCATCATCTTTTTTCCATTCTATGACCAGAAACCCATATGAAATCTGCAGCCTGCCATCCCAACCCCAACCATCTGTGCTGATGCATCTATACTAGTACACTGCCCATATGCCATCCCATAATGGTAGCAGAGATCCTATTTGTGTCTGGGAACTGGACTAAGATGTTAAAAACTCATTTCTGTATTGCCAGGGTTCCACATCATGGTGTTAAAAGATAGAGATGATGATGATAAAGGTCACTTGGAGCATTTAGATACTTCTTGTGCTAGGCCACCATTCACATCGACACCATTTGGGATAATGCATTGAGATAGCACTTGTACTTCTGACCATAAGCAC